CTCCAAAGGATTCTTTTATTAAAATAATCTACAGAGTCAAAGGAATTGGATCGAAGGGATGTCGAATCAACAATTTATGCACTGTTGAGGCATGGCAATCCACGAACTCAATCCCTAACTTTGCATGCAGAAACGATTCGTCCAACCTTTCATCCTTCCTTGACCCTAATTCCCTTTGTTGGTATGTTTTGGTTTTTTTTTGTTTCTTCTCCATTATTATTGATTTTTAAAATTATTGTTTCGCAATTCTAAAGTATAATCAGTTATTATTATTACCTTATACAAGTTTGCTTGATTATTATTCAGTTTTTGTTATTATGACCTCTATGTTTGTCGTTTCTCTTCATATTCGACCCATAAATTATTTTCATCCTTATCCCTTGATTATTGCGTAACCTCATTTAATAATAAGAGTCTCGAATCAATTTCTGATGCAATCTTTTATATCCTTCTATAGACATATATTTTCCATATAACTATATGTACGAATGTACAGCTTAAGTAAATGATTTCGTTGAAAAGAAAATTTTATTCGCTTTTCGATATGTTGCTTGCATTTTCAAGCAATTGTTCTAAGCCATCCCGTTTAATGATAATAAAAATGTCATCTACATACCGTAACCAGACCTTTGGTGGACATACGTTTCTCTCGATTGCACTGGCTTCTAGGGAATGCATGAATAAATTCGCTACAATAGGAGAAACTGATGAACCCATTGCTATACCTTCTGTAACGTTCCTCCAATCTTTCAAGAACAATAGAGAGGATTCAAAAACAATAACGTCCAAATATTTAATTAACCTCGATATAACTTTAGTATATCTTGTTTGCAACAGTATGGTCAGAACTCGATTTCTTATAACAGAACAAGAGAATGAAAAGAAAGCACTTCTGGGTTTACTGGAAGAAAGACGTTTTTGCAATAGATGGGCAAATTGTGAAGGCTGTTTACGAATATTTGTTTATTCGGATAGTTTGCTCCGTAAATGAAAGTGAGTGAGTGTCAAAATACTTATTTTGAAGTATGTGTTAATAATGTTTTGCGAAAAGATGACCACATGCGAAACAATTTACACGAGAATTATGCATCCTATTAATCATTTCAAACTGGTTGCGGGCTAGTAGGTGGAAATTTTTGCTCGTGTTGTTTTAAGGTCGTATAGAGAATAATTCGACTATTCTCTTCTGTACAGACTGTTGTTAGTGCTTTAATGGAAGCACCTCTTAGTAGAACTAATCATTGCTTTTACACATTTCTCTTATCGTATGACTATTTTTAACGTCCAAACATCTAAAACATGATCCCAATCGTATCACGACTATATGTCACTGTCGAGTCATCACGTATGTATCACATAATTATCAACGACTTTTTAAAGAAGTAGATATTTTAAAACAGATGTACCTTAAAGAGATATTTGTTCACACTTTGTCCAACGGAAATATGCAGTAAACGGCAAATGTGTTGTACATATCCGGCCCTGGACCTGTATATTCCAAAGCGATATATTTGCGCAAGTTCATGATTTTTCAGCCTTCACTACCTGATCCATTCATATCTATCAGCGGAAATTTATACAGATGACGGATTACTATTTTCTCAACTGTAGATATTACTACAGCTTCTCCTGGAATGAAATTCAGAGTGTTTGAGTTATGCTACTGTTTTAAATTTAGTCGCTTCTGTTGTTCCCCAAACTATAGCTCATGAAGGCTTAGTTTCTAAGGGTAAAAGTCTGAGTTGTTTTCTTACTACAGAGAGTAAAAAACACTATAGTAAATCAGTATGTAGTTAATAGATCTGTTTTTTCACGTAACACCAGCCGTTGATGTCGTATCTTTTTATTTCGCTGCCTCACAGTAGACTTTCGTGAATTTATTAGAAATGATCTTCTCCAGATGTACATTATTCTTTCTAATACTGCAGCATTCTGCACACTGTTAATGTTAATCTAACCGCAACGTGATAATGATGAGACGGTTTTTGTTTTGTTATGGTGCAAGTAATTGCTTTTGTAAGTCACTCACTATCACCTGGTCATTTCGTGTTCTTGGCTTTCCCACAACGATAGAGAAATACACTATTAGTGAACCATTTTGACTCATAACCCAGAGAGACTCCACAAGACAAACGAATCACCATACCTCAGTATCCAACAGAAAAGGCACTGTCGAACTGAACGAGTATAGAACTGTAGTAGTGTTGGTCCATAACCAAACAATCTTTGTACCCGAGCGTATAATTACTGTGAACACTTACATTCAACATGTAACACTTGGAGAAGATCAACAGTGGTGAAAGCGGAATCATTTATTCGAAATGGCATGGCTCGGTCATGTAGGCACTGTCATTCTGTATAACCTCTTCCTCTTCGTATCAAGTATATTAATCTCTTTCCAGCCCAAATATTTGCCTTAGAACTGTCAGACGGAATAGGACGAGTCAGTGTGGACAATGGTGTGATTTTCTCGTAAGATCTTACAGGCTAAGTGGTCACATCATGACATATCCGCTATTTTGGAATTAGGTTTATCATTATAGTAGCAAAGATAAATGTAATAATGCATTAAATCACCTAAGTTGACAACCTCAAATCAAACATTAGTATGGGTACAGTTAGTTTAATAATTGGCTTGGTGCTTGAGGAATGACAAATTTATTGTCTAGAAAGTCTCTGATATGTAGTAATGTGAAACTCTGTGTATGAATTCCTGCGAGAAACCATAAGCATCCTGCTTTATGACTAGGCAGACTCTCCGTTTTCGATTAATTGTAGGCGTAACAAATTTCCCGGCTCACAAATAAAAGGAAGTTATAGGGAAGGTGCAGTTAGTCATACACTAGTATCTCTGCAACCAGTAATGGTAAATTTGTGAAATTCCCAGTAGGCTACAATGTCTAGTACTAATACACACTCACATGATTCATCTTACCTTTCGTATAAATTTTAATAAATTAAACAGCATATGACTATTGGACCATTTTTACCTTCATAAAAACTATTTTTTCACAATGAATTGTGACCTTCAGCTCACACGTCTTATTTTTATGTCCTTATATTTGTGCGCTCATATGCCTTGTGGATACGTTTTTGTGCTTGTCTATCGCTTAGTATATTATCCAATCTATGCCAAACTGTGTATTATCTACTTAAAACTACATTGACGCTTGTAATGTGTAGTATAAGGTATCTACTACGTTCTTCTCCGACCTGCCTCTTCGCTTCATTTCGCTTATTATGTTTGGGTCGATTAGTGTATGAAGTATTGGTATTTAAAATTCATTCCCGTATTTGACTTACTATACTCCGTTATTCTCTAAAATGAATAAAGTCAATAAATATACACGAAAGTAACCGGCATGTATATCTCTTCGACATCACGATTTGATCAAATTGAAGTTAAATCAATGGGAATGATAATTCTACAAGTATTCTGAGCTTGAGAACACCATAACCAGTAACATCTTTTATAATCGAAATATGCGAACCAAGTGGAATCAGAAGTCAGAAGCGAAGAGGTTCAAAGATATATTTGATAGAATATCTATATATCGATAGGCGATCAATCTAAGACGACCAGCAGTTGTAGGAGAAGTGAAGCACGGCGTACCCACTCGTGATCTGGTTCGGATGCGTGACCAAGTGACTTCAGCTAGGTGAGTCCGTTAAAACTGATGTGCTCAGCATCAAATATCGAAGACTTACAGAGCTATTGGTTTTGGAGATTTATTTACCGCCCTGGGCCTCAGGAGGACCACTTGTCGAAACGGCAGAGATAAAATTTTGTTCCGGACAAAATCTCACATAAATCTGCGAGAGCTAGGCTGTGGGATCTAAACACTTTAGCTGTGTGGGATCATTAAAAAAAATCTCTGAGGTAAGAAATTTCATGTGAGTGATCTAGTCTTAGATTCTGTTGGCATACAACTTTCATGATTTGAAGATATGAGAGCCAGAATTTACCAACTACTTCTATTGTGACTTGGAGATAACCTAGATCATGCGGATCAAACTTTTAAATGTTCAAACGTATCCGGATGGAAATTTGTAACCGTTCATTTACTAGAATGTTCCTACTTATCAGGATGGCAATATTAGTTGCGAAGAGAAGTAATTCAGATCGCTTTTTTTATCTAAAGAACAAAACATCAGTTGGCAGTCGAATGAGTGATCGTGGAGTGTCTCCTTCCGTTATCATCACCAATCTCTACGGAACTAAATGGGATGTCGATGAATAACTTTAAGGATCCAGTGCACGTTACCACCATTCTTACCTAAAAGAGGCAATTACACGACATACTGATTCTAACCAAGAAAAATCTCTCACAAATTTTTGTAAGAGCTCATTCGTGTTCCATCCTAAATTGATCTCACACAGCTGACTCGGTAGTGAGTCGCACAAGTAGTCTACTAGAGCGAAGACAGTTATGGGAAATATGTCGCACCAGTATCTGGTCAGTCAGCTATGTTCTTTCCAGAGATGTCTGAGGTATTTCATTTCCTAGCCGTAGTGAAGCATTGGTTAATTTCATTCACAGCCTACCGATTTATTAATACAAGCCAAACACAACTAAGAGCTGTTTTTAAGAATTCCAATATTGTGCTGCCTTTTCAGCGACACGCTGAATGAAAAAACAGGACAAAGATATTGTACACAACCGTCACTGTCCATGATGCATACTTTTCCCTTCTTTTTCTCTTCCCTCCTCTTTTACCAACAGACTCATGTTTCGTTGTACAAGCCTTGAGAAGGCGAAATAAACCCGAAAAACATATTCTTCAATGTACGGTATTCCAGAGTATGACCAAAAAATAACTGCGATGACTAGTGGATGCCTGTACGTCGTACAGTTATTGTAAAATGTGACAGCTTCTGCTTTAGAAAACATGACTCTAATTTGTCGGAAAAAAAGTATAAATTGTTAGTTATAAATTTCGAGCCATCAGTTCAAATGAATCATTACTTCAATTCTTTGTTTTAACTTACTTGACATGTCATCTCCATTGGGCGGTAGTTAACTTTCGTAAGGTATATGGTCTTCATTATTTCCATATGTTGTTTATACTGATAACTTTACTCTTGTTCTTGCTAGCAACGTTTGTTTGAAGAAATTTACTCTTGTTTGCACTGTTTTTCATTTTAGAATGCTTTCAAATGTTTTTAGGTATCAGGCGTTTATACACAAATGGCAGATTACTACAGCCAAGATTACGGGTCATCAATGGACTACAATAACATGGAGACTGGTTACGGATCTGCTGCTCAGTCTGCCGCGATGGGTAATGGGGAATATGGACAATTTTCTTATGACCATATAAGAGATGAGGAGGATTACCAAGCAATTCCTCGCCCCGAAAAGCGAGTATCATCGCCTCAAGCTAAATACGACTCTGGAAATGACGATCGAATTCGCAGTAAAAAACGTGAGCGGAGAAAGTCGCGCAGTCGTAGCCGTGATCGTCGACGTCACAGCAGGGATCGACATCGAGACCATAGTAGAGAACGTAAATCTAGAAGACATCATTCACGTCATCGATCAGCTTCCAGTCCTACGTTAGTATATAAGTATTGGGATGTTCCGCCCCCAGGGTTTGAGCACGTCACTCCTGCACAGTACAAAGCACTTCAAGCATCAGGTCAAATACCGGTCAATGTATACGCTGCAGGGCAAGTACCAATGCCAGTTCATGCGCCGAATGCTCCTTTAACACTTACAACTAATGTCCCGTTTGCCGGCAGTGCTGTTTGCAGACAAGCACGCCGGTTATATGTCGGTAACATACCATTCACAGCAACAGAGGAGAATATGATGGAATTCTTTAATAAACAAATGCGTGCACAAGGTTTGATTCAAGCGGAAGGCAACCCCATAATTGCCGTTCAAATAAATATGGAGAAGAATTTTGCTTTCTTGGAATTTCGTTCTGTCGACGAGACAACCCAAGGTCTTGCGTTGGATGGTGTTTTGTTTCAGAATCAAGCTTTGAAGCTTCGCCGACCACGCGATTATGCTCCTTTACCAGGTGTTTCGGAACAACCTTCAGTCATTGTTCCAGGTGTTGTTAGTACGGTTGTCCAAGATTCTCCTCATAAAATATTCGTGGGTGGTCTTCCCAACTATTTAAATGAAGACCAAGTGAAGGAATTACTTCTAAGCTTCGGCCCATTAAAAGGATTTAATCTTGTTAAAGATGGTTCTACCGGCTTATCGAAAGGCTATGCCTTCTGCGAATATGTTGACGCAAATGTTACGGATCATGCGTGTGCTGGTTTGAATGGCATGCAGTTGGGTGACAAAAAACTTATTGTGCAGCGAGCAAGTGTAGGAGCGAAGCATACTACAGGTGTTCTTCCCCAAACTTTGCTATCGCTACCCGGATTGGAAGATGGCACTGTCCAAAACACGACCGGTTCAGGTAATATAACAATTCGTAGTGGTGGGCCGCCTACCGAAGTACTATGTTTGATGAATATGATCGAAACTTCGGAACTAGAAGATGATGAAGAGTACGAAGATATAGTTGAGGATGTTCGTGCAGAATGTAGCAAATATGGTGTTGTTCGTAGTCTAGAAATTCCTCGACCGATCCCCGGGGTTGAAGTTCCAGGAGTAGGAAAAATATATGTTGAATTCGCAAGTCTGATCGACTGTCAAAAAGCTGCCACTGCTCTAACAGGACGAAAATTCAACCAACGACTTGTGGTGACGTCTTTCTTCAGTCCTGATAATTACCATCGCAGGGAGTTTTGAATCTGACTGTTTTAAGATGTATATATAATACAATTTTAATGATTTTATTAGGTTAATCATCGATATTTTATGATATTTGTGTTGTTTTACCGGGATAGTCGTGCGTACTTTGGGAATTAAGTTTGTACCACAACGAATGTTCGCTCATTAAATCCATTAGTTTTTTATTCTTACTTGCTCTTTGGATCTGTAATTATGTTCATAGAAACTTGTGCCAAGCTAGATTTTCTTTACGTAGCGAGATTACGCGTAATGACTGCGAAGTCGGTACTAAAATACTGATTTAATGCAACATCTTGACATCCATCGGTTCGTGGCGTCATTAGTTTACCGGGTGTTTTCTTGATTTAGAGCAAAGGTATCAATGTGGAGGATTGAGTTCATCCAACATTAGTTTCAGCCTGGTCTCTTCAAATCGATGACGTTGCTGTCGCTTGACAGGCAAAAGGTCACTCAACCTAAGTAGGTGTGTTTATTATTGAGATTTAGAAGTTTGTACCATGCTCTGGTTTTAGAGAAGTTGAATGTAAAGTTAGGCAGAATTTTGTGATTTGTTAATCCAAAAAATTAGGACCTATTTAAATAGTTAAACCGTTCTCCGAATACTTGATTCGGGGTTGTACCGCGGACTAATTTTTCCTAGCGAAAACGTATATATTGACTTGAAAGTTCACTGTTTGGATAAGCTATAAACCGAAGGTGTCGTATGACACTAACCTGAGATTGCACACCGCTCCGCAATTTGATCTCAACGAATGCACTGGTGCTCACTGTCGTCGAATTTAGGTAACGGTTGATGTTTGTGTAGTCTCCGGAAATCTAGACTAGTAGTGCTCAATGGGGTCGTTGACCATCCCGTCTGGTTGTTCGTGATGATCAAAACATGAGTACCGAGGACTTATGGGTAGGTCTATGTTCTCTGAACTGAATGGTTTGGTCATTGAGCTGTCACAGTGGTCTGGGCCAGTTTCAGACAGTAGCGTTTCCTCCATATTTGACTCAGGTTGTCTGGTCCTAAATAAGGTTAAGCACCTTTCCTACCAGGTGTGTGTACTGATGTTAAGAGGGACAAAAAACACTCAGTACCTAAACCATTCAGCCCGGAAGAAAAATCTTCATCTCTAAATCGTGCACACGCCTGTGTACTGATCAGAAATTAGCAGACAAATAGTCGGGGTTGCATATTCGGAAGATTTGATGGTGCGCATCAACGTGATCGCTTTACAATCAACCAAGGTAATAATGGCAGACAAGCGACCATTATGTTCGTTTTGCGAGGTTACACGATAACGTCGCTGACGTTTCACAGTTCCTAAAACGAGGGGTCTGTGACAAGGATAGGAATTCTAAAGATAGTGATGACCAGGATTATCAGCTGTTCAACTCCTGGGCGTGAGGTCTAGAAGTTGACGTGTAATATTCGGTTTTGTGGGTGGAACGCTATATGATCCGTAATTGCTTCGTGACCACTTGCCTGGGCACACGTTTGATTTACTCGCTTCGGCCGTGCATGTTCTGTTTGGCCCTCACCTGAACAGTATAAACACTGAGTAGCTCAGGAAGGCTGGGACCTTGTTGCCGTGCTGCAAATCCATTTGACCAGTCACATGGGCTCGCTCTGTATGGATGCACGTTCGTGTATCATCAAAGCGTTGTTTTCCCGTCTACAACCTATGAATAGTTTGCAAATCACTAGTCAAGAAGTGTTTGTTTGCAGTTGAAATCTAGGGTATATGCCACATTGGTGTATTAATAAGGGGTTAAGTTCAAGCTAGAGTATGTCTTTACAGTAATCTGCCTAAATGCACGGACTGAATCGGTAGTTTTCCAGCAGACACTTGTAAGAACGGTGTGCTTAAATTTGGAGCACGAGATTCGCAAACGGTTTCTAATGCTATTCGTGAGGGTTGTTGGAAATAGGCATGCAGTGGCATTGTAGTACATCAGTAAGAAGTCAAGTGAGTGTGAACCAAAGGCTTAAGTCAGATAAATAAATATTATTGCGTAACAATACATATATTTACATGTGTAGAATAAAAAGCGAAAATTAGGAATTCAGGAAATTAAATTTACACTTGAAAAGCCCGTAGGTCAAAGCGCTTAGCTCGTGTAATTACATCCCAAACAAAACTAGATTTAATCTTAAGGGAGGGGTTCATTCTTCAACTTGCGTCAGATTTTTCTTGTCTTCTCCATATAATTACTGAACCCTTCTCATCTGCTGACGCTAACATATTCTCGTCCCAACTGATCGCTACATCTAACACTGGAGCTGTATGTCCCTGCAAAATGGTGACAACACCCGTGGAGGTTTGTTTATTGTGAGAGGAACTGTTTCCTCTTGCAGGGTCTGCATTACAACTTCTCAACACATTATATAGGTATACATTGCAATCTTCACTTCCACTCGCTGCACAAGCTCCAGAACGGAATGATATGAGTGGTGCAAAACATGAATGAATAAGACGAAGTGTTGTTGGGACGGAATTGAGAGAACCATGATGCACAGGAAACCTTTGCTCCAGAATCACGTTCCTATTATCTAATGTTAATCGAAGCAGCAATAACCCGATACCAGCTGCATTGATCAACAAATATGTTTCACTTTTTTCTTTGGATAGCCATGAGTATATTGAAAGACTAGTTATGCTTGGCGCTAACGATGTACCTCCACTGCTGTGTAACTTATCTACCCCACTATGCATACGTGCTCGGCTCTTCAGACTGCTCCACCTTTTGAAACTTTGATCTGCTTTAGACAGGAAATAGGTTTTTCGAGTACTTAGCGGTTCTTCGTACAATAAATCATTAAGTTTTATTCCCTTCTCAAGGCAGGTTGGAACGACAGACAGATTCAGTGATGATATGTCGACACGTTGTGATCTCATGATAAAGCCTGTCGATGGTTCACATAAATAGGACTGGATTATGCCTCGATCAGTTCCTACCCACAAGTAATTGCCTGTTGCATTTTCAAAAGCCAAAGTTGTAATACATCCTGTACCCAAAAGACCCCGTAGCTCAGTGACTGACGAATTTGGACGAGTTTTGCTACCTCGAGCAGCTACGTGAATACGGTCCATGCCTCTAACACAGGTCTTACCTGTAGAAAGATTCACCATCTAAAAAGAACACGAGAAAGGGTATGGCGTAGTACAGAAAGGTTTAGAAAAATTGAAGGAATGTTTAACCTTTGAAAGTGTAAGTAACAAAAATACTCTTTAGGGCTCACTAAATGACATGCGTACAAACATGAAGAAGCTTCACACAAAACGAGAGAGTGACAAAATTATGTTCCCATAACAACTTGAATGCAGTGTTCCACTTAGGAAAAAGACAAAAGCATAGTATTCGACATATTTTCTACTACAAAATTCACCGAATACATATGAGTCCAAAATAGTACCAGCGAATTGACTAATATTAACAGCTTCGATAAGTGAGATAAACCAACAATTAACTACAGCAATACAACTAGGATAGAGTCGCTGATCAGTTAAAAACGACTGATTAAATAGTCTAGGTATGTGTGGGGAGATGACACCATGCAATTTTATAGTTTACATTATCAACATTTGAGCAATGTATACATAAGTACGAGGATTAATCTGTGAGAAGCCGTTATTTTAAACACGAAGTCAGTCAGTCATAAACAACATAGAACCTGGTGCGAATGTGTATCGATTCAAGTTGCCATACTCTACAGTGCAGCAAAATCAGTGGTAAAGTAGTAGTATCAGTGACACGGAAGAATATTAGATACGGGATATAGTTCCAGAAAAGTGGAGTTGCTGATTAAAAAGTATAAAATAATTTCAAGACTACGGATCTAGGGTAAGGATAGGATGAATGCACACCTTTATTTTATATAATACTGAATTAGTCGGTTCGTATATATACGGTATTGTGATTATTCATGACGAACAAGCGCTTAGTCAGATAGCTAACGGTAAGAATTCCTAAATACAAACATGGGAAGGGATTTACGAAAATGTATTTTAACTACTTTATTTAGAGACGATCTCTTTAAGACCTAAGACTACGGATAGGCATTCAGTTAATAATTAAGGTGAAATAAATTATCTTTTAGCTAGTGTAATTGCTATTCTGCATAAACGTAACGAGAACGTTTATCCACATTCACATTACTTAAGGAACATTGAAGATATTGTTGGGAAACTGCAGTCTTTTGATAAGCCTACTACTTTTCAGTAGTAAATACACAGAACCCTCAGAAATATTTTCAACTGATAGTTTGCCTATAAAGAATACTGGTGTATTCTAAGGACATAAATTAGACTATTTAACAAATTGATTTACCTGAATAATTCCAGTAACGCTACCAACGGCGAAAATGTTATTGTTTGCGGGTTGGAAAGCGCACGTCAATAGTGGGCCAAGTTTCAGCTCCGTACTTAAATACTCTCGTGCCAACTTAGCTTCTCCAACATCCCACAAACATATATTTCCATCTAGAGACGTACTTGCTAGAAATTCGTTGGTCATGGACCAGGCTATATCTGTAATTTCTGTTTGTTTTACACGATATTCTGGTAAAACACATGCGATCGAAAAAACCCCACTAGTTGGGGAGATACGGCAGATGGATACAGTCCCGTCAGACGAAGCCAAAGCTAAACGACTTGAATCGTGGTTCGCAAAGCTCAAACGATTTACGGCGCCTAAAAGAAAGACAAACCAAAAAACATTGTTTAAAGTAGAGTACAGGAGGGTCAAAGTATCTTGACGTTTACCACAGTGCTTTGGCTGCAATCATGGTTTGTTACGGCTACAATATCACATCTGCAATGAATAAGAATCAAGATAGTAGGGCTGATGCGAATATTTCCCAGACAATGGAGTTGGGATTACTAACATGTAAATAAATCTTAGTCTGTATTATAGAAATATATAATCGAAGTAAGTTGTAATTTATCTTCGCGAGTGGAAACTTCCAATGTGAAAGAATGATTCGTGTTAATAATTAACCTATGGCTATACATAGTTAAATTATTAGACTCAACAATTGAATCACGTATTCAAGCTCGCTCCCACTTACTATAATCCTTAGTCTTAAAATCAAAAGCACTTATTTGATGACAGTAGTGCGTAAGCCTGCAAAGGACTACTAATGTGACTTAAAAACAACAGATACTAACTGGTTTGAGGGTTCTTTTAAGAAACTTGCTCGAAGCTTTTTAAGTTGCTCATTGGAACACAAGTGCTTAGTAACTACTTAACTGAAAAGTATTCAGATGACCTCATCTAATCTATCAGAAACAGTCTGGCCTGTTTATTAACAAACAGCCAAATTTTGAAAATTAATAGGTTGTTGACTTCAATAAACCACGAACAACGGCCGTGCTGTGTGCTACTGATGTTGACAGATATAAGTAGTATGTATCGTCGACCGAAAGTGAAATGCCTGGAGCCAGAAAATTAAGATCGAAGAGAAGAGAAGGAGAACAGGGAATGATTAGCTTGGAAACGAAGGAACGATCAAGTCTGAGACAATCGACTGACATGTTGCAAATGAAGTATCTACTGTATAGTTGTCAGATTTTACTGAGACTGTAATTTTGTGTTTAAATACATATTAGATAAATTGGAGGGACTACGATGACTGACTTATAATAAATTTGACCAAATAATCAAAGAATATTGATTGCTGTGCTGTATAATCAATGTCAGAAACAATCAGTAGAGGTGAACTGCATGAGAAAACCACTGCTTATTAATCAGAGGTGATCTTTGTTTACTGATCATTTATTTATTTTAACACATAAGTATAGGTACAGGGAGGCACCAAATACATATGCGCCACACAAATCTCAATTGATTTGTGTGAGGGCTGTGATACTGCCCGGGTGCCCAAACCGAAGCAGGTTTACTGATCAACAATGAAACAATCCAAACCATTACAGATGAAGCCGAAACTCATACCCTTTTTACAAGCTAATGGCTATTGAGACTAGCTCAGTGAGTTGATAATGTGTTGGGCATTGGAAGTGAAAAGTAATGAGTTCCATTCCTAATGTGAAGTTGTTATTTCCAATAAAAATCATGGTGAGGAATGAATTATCAACCAATAACGAAAAAGTTGTACGTAATTTGAATTTCTAAAAGTTTTTATGATTCCTTAGGTGACAATTTTAGAATACTAAGAGTTTCCCCAAGCAATTACTAAAACGCTTTAAAAAACCTTAACGTGTTTTACATTCAAAACGACTTATTAGTTGTTGATCAACAACTAATTTTTCAATATTATGTTAATTAAAGATAAATTAGCTTATTTTTATGCATGTCGTTTAAATAGAAAGAAACAATGTATGACAGATTTATCATATCCTGCAAATATAGTCATTTTTGCTTTGTTTAAACAGGAGTTAACGCGAATGGCTTACGAAAGTAGGTCATACATTTTACTTGTGAACAAGCAGTTTTTGATACCTTCACAAATTAGATGTGGCATGATATACTAAATCTAACTTTTTAAATAAACTTACCCGAATGGTGGTCAAAAATATGCTCAATACCAGAAAACGCATAACTCTCGCCTAAAGTTTCTGTCCTTCCGGGTGTAAGATAATCTGAAGATGCATCCTAAATTCGGGTATAAGAGCAATTAAAAAAGCTATTAGAGGTTTGGTGAAACTGAAAAATTTTACGATATTAAGCAAACGGCTTGATAGTCAGTCAGTCAGCTACAACATAGGACCAGTCACATATATGCAGCGGTCCAAGTTGCCATACCGCATTAGCACAGTAAAATGAACACCAGATTCACAGACGTAGGTACTTCAATGGTGATAATATATAGATGAAAGATTGCATATAAAAATATAGTAGAGGAAAAAAGAATTAGTTCGTATAAAGAAAGATATGAAGTGGTTGTAATCTCTTAGTTTAAGGGAAGACAGAGAGTGTATACACCTACGCCATTGTGGTCGATTCTGAGCCATGTCACCAAGTCTCCAACCATTGGTTATGATAGTCACGCGCACCCCAACCAGGTAGTCTACATCTACCAACATGACTCAGACCAGAAGTTAGTGACTTCAAGCACTGATGCCACGTTTTGGTTTGACCGCCCTTAAATTTCTTCCAACCATCACCAACACCGGTTAGCATTGCGCGTCGTGGAAATCGGTGTTCAGGCATACGCAACACGTGCCCCAACCATCTCAGTCGATGAAGATTCACAACCTTATCAACTGATTTACCGTCATTCCCTAGTACCCTGAGTCTAACCTCACTAATACTTACCCGGTGATCCCAGCAGATGCGAGAAATATTTCTAAGGCATTTGTGGTCAAATACCAGTGGCCTACGAGTATCTTCAACTCTCTATGGTCATGTTTCGCTGCCGTAAAGTAAAACAGAACGAACTGCCGCGCAGTATACTCGTCCTTTTGTTGATAGACGGATATCTCGCCTTCGCCATAGGTGACGTAAGCTGGCGAAAGCCAAACAAGATTTTCGAATCCCTGCTAAGATTTCGTCAGACGCCAACCCATTAGGGCTGATCAGATTTCCAAGATAAGTGAAGTTTTTAACGCGTTCGACTTGCGAAGCGATCTACCAACAAATGTTTTACAAAATCAGAGGCTCATATATCTATAAGTAATGCAATGACCGAAATCGTTTTCTGATTTGTGAAGTTAGGAAATTAGTTCGAAACCCATAAGTCCAACAATACACAGAATGGACTTAAATGTAATACCAATCTTATATGCAATTCAACTGGAAGTAAATGGACAGGTTTGACGGGCAATTATATTTTTGTCTTGCAGCAGCCATGGTGCACAGTGGATCTCAGTCTGGACAACTCATGAATCTATCCAGAAATTAAGAGAAAGTAGAGCAGCAACTTTAAAAAATGGCAGTAAGCATAATATTCACACATATTCGGCAATTGAAATCACATAGCTACAGTTAGGCCACAAAAAAGCAAGTATAAAAATACTTACACATATAGACTTAGTCATGGAGTAGTTCAGCAGGGAAGGCTGTTTTGTACTCTCATCGTAACTCCTGGATTTAGTTAAGCTTAACTGAGGTGAGGCGCACCTGTGAGGTTTGACTGGACCGTAAAGAGAAAGTAATAGCTGTTCACGAATGTTTCTGTAGGCAACAAAAGACGCGACAGAGGTTTCAGCTGCATATTGGAAACTACAAGATAAATTAGGATGTCTGAAAGCCTCGTTGACACTCAGTGCGGCTTTTTCTCTTGTCAACTGATTCCTTCTTCGAAGATAAAGTTGCCTTAATTCAGTACTTGATTTTGTTATTGGCCTGACAGCGCTATAGCGAGAGTCCAAAGCCAGAACCTGTTGCCAAATATCACACGACATGGTTTTTTTGGTGGGTGTAGAACTTTAGGGATTGATTAAGCTCAAGACATTTGGACATACAAACAGAAAACAAGTTGATGTTTATGGATTCTTGTGATCCGCAGTGCCGTGGATATTCAACCTTTGAAGGTATCGACGATAGATACTATTACTGCAAGTTGTCGTGAAGAGCTCCTACGATCCACACCCCTATATGAAGAACAAATAATTTGAGAATATTTTCTTAGATGATTCATTCTAGAGGAAAAACCGATTAAACATATTGATACACGAATCATAAGTCAAAATACAGGAAAGCTACGATAAGACTATGGAAAGAGGTTAGAATGTTTAATATTTTTCTCGTAATTAAAGATAGAAAGCCATTTTTAGTATTACAGCTTTTACCCTTTGAACCCGTACTAAAATATTTGTTTCGTAAGCAAAATAGAATAGCTGCTTGAATACACAATTCTAAATCCTGTCTAAATACGTTAGGTTTTATGACCAGGTGTATATTTAAATTCTAACTCTGTAAGACTTCGTAAATGAACAAACACTGAACTTGAATGAAAGTATCTCACTTACTGAGAATTTGAAGTATATTATCACCACTATGCTCTAATTACACCAAACTGAAAAAAATTTTGACTAGTGATTATTGGTACTATCAAGTTGTCCATTCAACCCTCTTTTATAGCTGTACTGTGTATGAAAGTTCACTTTTCAACAGTCCGCAAGTACTAAAAGGGCAACTTTGTCACCCGTAGTGAGAAATCCATACAGAAAAGATGCATACCTAAAGGCTTTCGGCTGGACATTACTCAGGAAATACTTCACAAAAAAGGCCTGAGTAGCATGTTTATCTGGTTTTACAGTCATTCTTGAAACCAGATTGATGTAATGCTTTGGCGTTGATTGTTGTAGGAGTGAGTTTTGGAGATACTGGGAGTTATTAAGTAGCCGCTTTCGTTTTAAAAGCTCGTTTCAGATACTATAGCTCTAGAACGATTCGTAGTTCCTCAATATTTGATTCAAATTATTTGCTTTATAGAAATGAATAAACTGTTACGTCCTTTTACCACGTAAAGGTTCCTAATCTACCCTAGTTGGGAGGTTGCCAATAGAGGGGAAATATTATTTATTTATTTGAACACATAAATATTGGTACAGGGGGGCACCAAATATATATGCGCCACACAAAACAATGATAATTTGAAGAGAAGGAGAAAAGAGAAAAAAAAGTAATAAACGTCGGAAATTATAAAAAAAGGGGGAGAGAGAGAACAATGGTGGGGGAAACGGGAAGGTACAATCAGAAGAGATCTTTCAGTTAAGGAAGATACAACCACTTTTTATGAAGAAAGTAAAAGAAGGTTACAGCACGATCTCCATTGGCTTCTATTCTGAGTCATATCTGATAACGTCTCTAGCCACTGCATTACACAGTCTCTTGGACCCCAACCAGGTAGTCGTGAAGGACCAACAGAAGCTAGCCCTTTGCAGCTTTCTTTCATACCACGACACCATGTCATATACTGACCACCTCTCCGCTTTTTCCAACCAGTCCCAGAGTCGGCAAATAATGCACGACGTGGAATTCTCTGGGACGACATTCGTAGAACATGTCCAAGCCACTGAAGTCGGTGTTTCAAGATGGTGACACCAATTGGATTATCGTCTCTGTGACCGAACACTCGATGCTGAACCTCTGCATTACTGACATGGTGTTGCCACTGGATGCCAGCAATCCTTCGGAGACAGAGATGATCGAACACAGAGAGTCGTCTAACATCCTCAACTCGGGAAGGCCAGGTTTCACAAGCATAGAGCAAAACTGCTCTCACCGTCACATTGTAGATCCGACCTTTTACAGCCAGACTAACATCACGAAGGCGCCAAAGATGGCCCAGATTGGCATAAGCCGCTCTGGCTTTCACTATACGTGCATTGATCTCATCACTCACACCACCACCAGCACTTATGCAGCTACCTAGATACACGAACTTCTCGACTACTTCTATCTGCTCACCATCCACAGTGAGTACAGGATTAGAATCCTGCCAGTCTTGTATAAGTACTTTGCACTTCGAAGGTGCAAAGCACATACCATACCTACGGACACTGATTGCCAACTGATTAAGTGCGGATTGCATGGCTTGGGCATTCTCGCACAGTAAGACAATATCATCCGCATACTCAAGGTCGAGAAGTCTTTCTCCAGGCAACAGATCCACACCACCATTACTTACATCCGTCAGAGCTGTTTCCAGAATGTCATCGATGGCAAAGTTGAAGAGGAATGGTGAGATTGGGCAACCCTGCCTAACCCCACTGCTCGAATGGAATAGTGGAGAAAGGTGGTTGTATGCCCTCACTCTGCCTGAGGTGTTTATGTATAGGGCTTTTAGGATGTTAATAAGCTTCTCAGACACAACCTTCTTCAATAGACAATCCCAGAGAACAGTTCTATCAAACGAATCGGAGGCAGCCCTGATATCAAGAAACACTACGATTGTTGGCCTTTGATAAGTATGGCGGTGTTCTAACACTTGGCGAGGGTGAAGATATGATCAATACATCCTCGACCAGAACGAAAATCAGCCTGCTCCTCGTGAGTCAATCCTTCTCGGGTTCTGAACAACCTACGAAGTATGATGGAAGCCAATAGCTTGGACGCAATCGGAAGTAGACTTATCCACCGATAGCTGTTACAGGAACGACGTGAACCCTTTTTAAAGATAGGGACAACTATCGACTCATTCCATGACGTTGGTACACTCTCTAGTTCCCAGATCTTTGTAAACAACGTCGTCAGTCCCTTAGTCAGAAAGTCATCACCATCTTTAAAAAGAGCCGGAGGTAACGTTTCAAGAGTTGGAGTTCCTTGCGGACTTCCGTCTCATTTGGTGGATCAGTCGTCACCGGCCATGGAGGGCAGGACAGAGGGGAAATAATCTACGTGACTAGTGTCCGGATTGTTTGCAACATCACTAATAAACAAAAGATGTAGGACTTGAGCACATTTTAATATCACTTATCGTAAAGTCTGAATTTGAACAGAAGCTTTCGCTTAACGGGCTTCAGTCAGTCAGTCAGTAACAACGTGGAACTTCGTACGTACGTACATCTGTTCGAGTTGCCATACCACATTAGCACAGAGATTCAGTTATCGATTCAAATCTCGTAGTGGTAGAGGTAGTAAAAGTATAAGTAGTGATAGGGAACATCAGGGTTTGATGATGTTATTCAAGGAGTATAATCCAGTGGAATAGATTTAGAAAGAAAATAAAGGACATGAAGAATTCAGAAGATTACAGTTTGAAAGAACACAGAGAGTAGATGCACTTGCGCCATTGCAAACGATTTTGAGCCATGTCATTCAAGATCTCTAACCATCGGTTGCTATCGTCTAGCGGTCCCCAACCAAGTAGCCTATACCTACCAACATGGCTCAGTCCACTTGTCAGTGACTTCATGGATTTGTGCCAAGTTTTGGTCTGGCCGCCCCTAGCATTTTTCCAACCTACTCCTACACCATAAAACATCGCACGTTGCTTAACGGGCTTCCGTATCTAGTAGCAGTGAATCGCCGATGTTTCCAAACAGGAACCTAGGTATATTCAACGATAAGAGAAATGGTGTTCTGAAACCTTAGAAATATGTCAAGTTTTCTCTTGAAGGACTCCTGAGCAGTGTTTTGAATCACCTCAGCCGAGAGATAATTCAGGAATCTAAATACTCGTGAAGTTTAGAAAGTGTGCCTACAGTCCGTTCTGCTATATTGTGTCTCTAATTTCTGGGTGTTATTATTATTTTATTATTATTTTAACACATAAGTATAGGTACAGGGAGGCACCAAATACATATGCGCCACACGAATCTCAATTGATTTGTGTGAGGGCTGTGATACTGCCCGGGTGCCCAAACCGAAGCAGGTGGTTTTCTTAGGGGGCCACACCCCGAGCCTTTGACCTAAAGGTCTAACCCACAAGGCAGTGGAGCATCGTGAGGAGATGCAGTCCCATGGTAGCCGTTGACCAACGATTGGTTCATACGCCATTTGTTCCCGCAGGATACTGGAGCCCATGTGCACCATTGAATTGGGATCCGGTTATAGCGCCGGACATTCGCTTTTCGTCCTCTCATTTTCGTAAACAACACCCCCGCCACGAGAAGGCAGTGAGTAGGACTTCCCTGGCAGAGGCTATATACGCGTGGCCGTGTGAGAGTATTTCGAGAGGGATAGCGGACTCTCCCCACTCTCGGCCGTACCAGGGCAATTTCTGGGTGTTACCCTAAGGCTTGTGTTGGGATTAAGCTTAAAAATGTATTTAAGGGGACCCCAGGAGTTTACGATGGCACAAGTCACTAGGTTACTTCTGAGACATAACAAGCTGAGGCAGAACTAGTTAACATGGATAAAACTCAAAAGGTAGTCCGACGGAAGCTGAGCTCATGACAGATCTTCGGATCAAAAACTGTACTTTTTGCATTTGGATACTGCAAATGTTTGAGAAATGCAAATCACGTTATGATAATACTTTCCATCCATAAAGCGTGTATCCAATATTGGATATTTATATCAGCCCCTACATGTAAGACCGAATTTTAGAAAGAGGCCGAAATTTGATGCCATGCAAAAATAAGACAGAAAACTAAGCTAGAAGATAAATTAACTGAACCTGGATCGCAGTGTAACGGGGTTAAAATCGTCATGTTAATGGACTCTGTTTTTTTTCTATTGTAGGGAAACCAAGAATAAGTGCTTTAAAAGGAGAGCAAGCTCTGCATGCACTAAACTTACAGGATGACTCATGAGACTGTTTGTAAACTAGCCCTTTTTTTCTGTACATAACCCGCGAGTTTTGATTTTCAAATAAACGACTAGTGGTCCCCATTCCGTGTTCTCTATGTTTGTGAAGTGTTCAGTTAACATTGTGTGTTTGTGGTTTTAGATCTTCCAAAACATGATGAACACTATGACGAACCCCCAGTCCTCCCAGGCAAGGTAACAGTCAGCACAACGCCCCGTCAACCGCAGCTGTTAGGAGTTACATCAGACTATGATATCTGGAAAATTAGAGTGATGACGTACCAACGTCGGAACACTTCGAATAACTTCTGTCCTACTTAGATGATGAAGCAGCGAAACGAGAGACAGATAACGGCTTTACTGAGTGAATTTCACCATCTCGAAATTGGAAGATTTTAGATGAATGTTTTTCGTTGAAGGTGGATACCCAGCAGACGGCCATTCAATTTTTGTTGCGCCATCAGTAACTGCATGAAAGCCCCATCAATTATCTTTACGCATTACAGCCTAGCCTGGAAATCTTGGGGCGAGAGGAAATTAAACGCTCCCGTTTTATTGAAGGACTGTTGCTAGGCGCACTGAGAGAACACCTCCTTCGAGTGCCACCGAGTGACACAGCTGATTTGAAACGAACAGCACTCCGACTTTTGACTGCTGAAAGATTGTCAGTTACATTGGCGACCCATCGACCAACAGTGATGACTATTAGGGAAGCCACCGAACCTAATCGACAAGATAGCCTTCACATTGCCGCGGCTGTTAGAGAGTTACCTGACAGGAATAACAGACGAGGGCAGCCAACTCTTACGTGGAATAGACGGTCGTCAGAGAATTATCGGAACCAGCAAACAGAGTGTTGCTACTGCAAACGTTTCGGGAAAAATGTCAAGAAATGTGGGCATAATCGCGTGAAAAACAGAGTCTATTAACAATACCATACATGACGATCTTAACCCGGTTACAGTAGATACAGTTGAAAATTGCGCCTGACCTCTATTTCAATCAAATGGTTCAAATGGTTGTGGACGGAATTGAAGAAGCTTTCGCTTAACAGGCTTCCGTGTCTAGTAACAGGGGATCACCAATACCTCCAGGCAAGAACCTAGGTATATTAACGATGAAAGAGAAAAAAATGAATTGGTAAAACATAGTAAGATACTATCCTTAGTCCTTAAGAATAGATCAAGTCGCCTCTTACAGGACTCCTGGGAAGTTGCTTGGACTAGCTCAGCTGGCAGCGAATTCCAGCATTTGACAACTCTTAAGGAGTAGAAGTTGTGTCTACAGTCCGTTCTACTATGCTGTACCTCTAATTTCTGGGTGTTACCCATTAGGTTAGTGTTGGGACTAAGCTTAAGTAGATGTTTAAGGGGATGTCCAGAAGTATTAAGGATGCTGTAAGCCATTAGAAGGTCACCTCTAAGACGCCTATACTCTAATGGGTAAAGGTCGAGTGATTGGGGGCGCTCATCGTAAGGTTTAAATTTGAGTCCCCGAACTGATTTCGTGGCTCGTCGTTGGATACGCTCCAGAGTGTCCTTATCCTTTTGGAGTGTAGGAGGGAATACTATGTTTCCGTACTCTAAATGGGGACGAATGAAACTATTGACGATTATGTGGAAAGTTCTCCTGTCAAACTGAGTAAAAATGCGCTTCAATGTTACCAGTGCAAGGTTCGCTCGAAAGGCATTTCTGTCACAGTTGGCGTAAGACTTTAAGTCGTAGGGCACCAGAACTCCTAAATCTTTTTCGACTAGGGATACTACTAGAGAGGAGTTTCCTAAGTTGTAACTGTAATCTGCGACATGTCGCAGATGGACTACTTTACACTTTGAAGTGTTAAAGGTAAGTCCGTCGTCGTCTGCCCAACTTTGAAGTCGAGTCAGATCCTCCTGAAGTGCCCGTATATCCTCTTGGTTGCGTATCACTCTCCAAAGTTTCACGTCATCGACAAAGAGCAATATGTCTGACGTTACTTGTTGAGGAAGATCATTTATATAAATCAGGAAGAGGAGAGGTCCTAGCACTGAGCCCTGAGGGACCCCACTAGGACATTCCATAGCCTTTGAGAAATTAAAGTTGGTGAGCCTGTGTTAATCCTGACAGATTGCCTTCCAATAAAGGTCCAGCTTCCCCTCAGAAAGTTTCACTGATAGGACTGATACCACTTGTTTGGATAAGGCATTTCAGTTAATGAAAAAACGGAACCCCAATTTAAGATTATTAGACGGCTCTTTGTGAACATTCTTGCAATGATATCGGAGATTATTAGCGCTGGAGAGAGCAGAAAGATAAGATATATTAACACCCAAATCTTAATTAAAGACACAAAATGCCAGTATAAGGTCACCTTGCGTCCCACGGTTCGATAGGCGGGAAAAGTTGAGGCGTTTTCAACTCTCATAATAAGGAAGTTTAGAAAAACCCTTCACTAATTTAGTTCCCACATTCTGAACACGCTCAAGTGAGTTGGTATTCTTAATCATACACGGGATGGCTGCTTGGATACAGTAATCTAAGTGTGGTCTTACATGGGTGGGATATAAAACTCGGGACATCTCCTCGTCAAACCATTTGAATGCTCAGCAAAACGACCATAGCGCACGATAAGCTTTGGCAGTAGCTGCGTTGCAATGCATAGCTTTTTTGAAGTCATGACTTATTGTTACTTCTAAGTCTGTTTTTGAACGCGTGGAATAGATGTACCATCAATAGTATAATGGTAATTATTACCATGTCCGATGTACATGAGCACACTCTTCCTAGAATTAACTTCTAAGCCCCAAAATCGAGCTCATCTAACTCATTTGTCTAAGTCAGCTTGGAGATCAAAATGATCAGCTTCACTTCTCATTGTTCTCCAGAGTTAGACGCCAAACAATAATGCCGACAACTGATGCAATAACGTAGTTCATTAATACAGAGAAGGAAAATTAGAGGCCTAAAATGGTGCCTTGGAGTACACCACTTTTGACCGGCCTCCTCCCGAATAGTGTCCCATTGGCCCTCACTCTCTGCCTGCGGTCACATAAGAAGTTTCCTATTTATTCCTGTACAACACCTGTTATTCCGGAGCTTGACAGCTTCTACATAAGACCTAAGTGCGGGACCTTGTCAAATGCTTTGCTAAAGTTTATGAATATCACGTTGACAGACAGACCGTTATCTAGGACTGGTGTTCGCTTCTCTTTCGCAACAGGTAATTTAGTCAGGCATAAATGCTTGAATGCTTGAATCTATGTGACTTAGTAACTTAACCTGAATTATCTCTTCAAGTAACCTAACGACTATGCTGGTTAGACTGATAGCCTGGTAGTTAGATACGATCTGCCTCTGACCATCTTTAAGTATAAGACTGACTGTAGCAACTTTTCAACCTCTAGGGAGTTGAGCGAGTGAAAGGAACATGTTCAAGAGCATCGCGAGCGGTCTTGAAATAATGTCCTCAAGAAGTGACAGTAGTCGTGGATGTAACCGATCAAGGCCCGGTATCTTACAAGATTTGAGGTCAGTCATCAATGGAAGAACGGTTTCCTCAGTCACATATACAGGTATTATGGCTAGCATTTCGGTGTGATTAAGACAAGTATTTTCAACAATACACTTTGCTTTAATTGTTTGATAAATTCTCAACTCTTGCCAGTTTTGATTTAGCTAGTAAGTCTGAATTTTCCTGTAACAGTAATGAGGGAATAAGATTATTACGTTTTGTTCTCCGTTTAACGTACGAACACAATCGTTCCGGACAAGTACGGCTATAATATGCCAACTGTCTTTCGTAAATAGTACGACATTTAGCTATGGTTTATTCACATTTACATTTCCAGATATTTTGGTATTCACACTTGGATGATTCGTATCCTGTTGACAGGAATAAGTCTCAGAAGTGTTTCATACGCTATAACAGCTTTCGGGTTACCTTATTAACCCGTGGAGAGCGATGTGATAGCTTGTGTGTTGACCATAGGATAAACGGTGATGTTGCGGAATAGAATGTATCTTTATGCCCATTCCATTCGTCTTTGATCGATCCATCCTCATCAACCGACCAGTCAGGTGAGATAGCATAGTCTCTGATTGCCGAAATATTAGTTCGCCAGATGTTGGTACGGGGTGTGGTAGACACAAATTGTACACCATGTGTCCGAAACTCAAAGCAAAGTACAGTGTGATCACTATTCTTTAGTGAGGGAAGGTGCTAAATGTAAATGACATCCTCACAGTGGTGTGTGAGAACAAAGTCCAACAATGATGGTTCGTGTTCCAAGTCAATATGTGTCAGTTTCACAATACATTGTACAAGTACACACTGAATGACGTTTGATGGAAGGTCGCTATCGAAACCCCCTGCCTGAAGCTCTATGCTCTATCCAGCTAATATGCGGTTGGTTGAAGTCTTCAACGATGAGACATTTTACCTCCAAGAACAAGTGTGTACGAAGATAAAGTTGTCAACAAAGCAACAGGGACTACGGCATATTCTTCTTCTTTCTAGATTTCATTGTATGACATGCGCCTTCGATATGGTTGACTGTGTAAGAAAGTAATCCCTAACATATAACATTATGCCTCCTCCCTTGCGTCTTATAACTCTATCACTTCCAATACAGATCTAGCCTGCAATGATGGGAGAACAGTCTATATCTACGGTGAGCCAAGTTCCTGTAACAACGATTATATCGGGAATTAATTCATCCATCATCAAACTTGGCTCGGACGTTTTATTTCTAAGACTACGGGCGTTCGTGTAGCGCGCATTCCACTTATACGGGTCTCGGAAGCATTGGCTTCCAACACCTGAATACCCAAAAACCCCTAATCGTAAGGTTCGTTTCGCCATTCAGCTTTCGAGTTCTTAATTCCGTAAAAGCATCCTTCCACTTGATTCGATCCTCACGTGGCCAATCTGATCGGATACGAATATTTGAATTACGAGTTTTGTATGCGTTATTCAATATTGTGTCACTTTGTCAAAATTACCGAGTACTAACTCCATGATCCTTCTTGGTTGGGTTTCGCCTACAACACATTTACGAGGTCTGATTACTTTCGTGATATGTACTCCTGAAACCTCTTCAAGCAGTACATTTCTGATGATAGGTTTCACTAGCCCGAGGCTGCGTGCATGTCTTTTAGCAAGCTGATTGTCTTTCGACTCCTCTAGACTCCAAATAGTTAAACTAGGAACAAATTTAACTTCTTTGAAATTCATGTTTACGGCTTTCGACCGTGATGATAGATCCTGACTGTTAGCCGCTGACATCCTATCGTTAGTTTTTCTAGTAACAGGGTCGCGGGAATCGAGCGAATGACTTACGACAATGTTTGACGAGGCCAAACGTTTTCCATCTATGATAGGGTTAAGTATTGTCTTATTTTGGACTTTGACGAAGTAATGTGCAACGCAAAGTGTGAGTGAATGAAGGAAATTTTAACAAAATGGTCGCTATTCTTGACGATATTTCCTTCACTTCTATGTTTCCGTGCCAACCACTTCCCATCAGTCGCAGCATCTACATTGGAACTATTCCATGCTGTAGCAACGTAGCCATCAGTATCTAATGGTGTATCGTTCATTAGTTGTTTCTGGATAGGAAGTACCATTGCGTATTGCACAGCCGGGTGTCTGGTACGTGTCGTAACAGCACTTACTACACCAATGCATTCTTCCCTATCAGTACCCATGCCATTGGTATAGGCCTCATCAACATTATTGTTAGCCAACTCCAGAAGGCTAATTGCTTCATGGATGAGTGATGTTTTGCTCTAACAATAAAACATACAGAGCTAGTGAGAGTCAGGCCTTGAGCACCTTTTACAAGCAGTGGAACTTAAGCGGGTATACATCTTACGGAACCACTTCTTACACACATTCCTTCTTTCACACGGAATAAGCAATATGGCTGCCCACATTTCTGAGCAGAGCCGACCATCTTAAAAGGTAATTAAAAATGGTAACAAAAATGGATATATAAAGAAAATTTCAAA